TCATTTAATTTATTCATTGTTTCTCCCCCACAAAAAATAATCTTTGGTTGATGATTGAGGTGAAAACTTTACTAAATATGCTTAACAGTGTGATTCCCCTGTAGTTGTCAACATTGTTCAAATTACCTTGCTTGTGTAAAGGAACTATTATCCCAACAGACCAGGAGGTAGGAATTGTCCCTCTTTCTAATATCAGATTGAAAACTAACTCAAGATAAGGTAGTAGAAGATCAGCAGAGTACTTGAATTCTCTTCTCTGGATTTTAGAGAGTCAAGAATTTCTTTTGTAAGGTCACTGTTTAGGTCATCATTTAACAAAGAGTCATGGTCATCACTTTCAGTATTTCTCTCAATATCTACATTTGCACCAGAAAACAGTGTTCTTAAGTGGTGAAACCACTCTTGGGTTTGGATATTGCTTTTTGGAACTCTCTTTTCTGTTTAAATATTTCAATTCGTACCAAAATCTTTTGGAGTCATTAATGTTATTTTCTATTTTATTCTGTTTCTCTTTATAATATGCAGTGCGTCTCTGCTTACACAAAGCATTATATTTATTTCTTGATAGATAATATTGTTCCAATGATGATATATCTTTACGTTTTCTAAACTTGTTCAGTGATTTGCAGCGTTCAGTTTTAAGTTTTCTACATTCATCATCATACCAATTATTAAAATTATTTTTCATATTTCCACACTTTCTTTTCATATCTGATGCTGCTAGACAAAGGGCGTCTACAATAAAATCAATGCTGGTATCAATACATGTAAACTCACTATCGACTGATTTGTCGATAAAATCTTTTGTCTAAAATATTCAAGTTTGTCATGATCCCAAACAAATTTGAAAGCATTATTATATTTGTTGTTATGTGTGTACCTGTACATGATTCTCTAACATGAAGCGCACGTAATTTCATAGTGACCGGGAGATGACGCAGTTCGAGATGGTATCGCAAAGTCAGTTACATAATCAAACATTGACGCAGAGGAGATAATATAGTCTACCACACTTGCACCGTTAATACCAATGTAAGTAAAATCTCAAATCTTAGAGTCGGAACCACATCGCCCGTTCATAATGTGAATGTTAAGTACAGCGCAGAGGTCAAGGAAATATCTTCCAAAGTTGTTTATTTTCTTATCGGTAGAGTAAGGTCGTAGATTAAAATTGTCACATATAGAATCTAATAGTGGAAAATTTTGATTTTCAACTTTTTAAGTAAATCATCTTCAACAAAATCTGCATCGGTACCTGTTCGTGCATTGAAGTCTCCACCGCATAAGATAAAAATATCTTCATGGACAACATTTAGTATTTCTAGGAGGCTATCTTGAAACATACTGATACCATTTTACAAGATAATGATCGCTTGTTGTACCAGGTAGATGATTCTGGGTGAACATAGACACATGCATATAACAGATCATGATCTAAACCAACAGGGTTTTATCAAACATAATAAATACAGCATTTTCAGTTATTTTTGACCACAGTGCAAACTTTTCAAATTGTTTCCTTATCAAAACAGATATTCCACCAGATAGTCTGCCACAGTTGGAGATTCGTTCTGTATGTTTGGAGATAGAAGAGTAGTCTGAGAATACATGTTCGAAGTCTAAGCCATCCGCCCACGTCTCAGTTAAACCTATTATATCAAAATTGTGCAGGTATCTAATAAAGTCATATTCACAGAGTTTATGTATGATACCTGATATGTTCCAAAATATAAAGTGAATGTCTTGATCCGGTGTATTGGATTTCCTGAGGTATATCAGTATTATGTTCACAATAATGTGCTGTGGAATGTTTATTGCTGTTTCCGGCCTGGCCTAAACCCTATCTATGTTGTCTATGAAAGAATAACCGTAGCGTAACACCAACTTGATAATGGTTGGAGAGTGGCAGAACAGGTCCTTTAACCCTTCTAACACCCTAATACACGATCTCTTATACCAACTTCATAGAGCATCTTTAAAAGAACATCATGCCTAAAAGTATCAAAATCCTTGGCAAAGTCTACAAAAGACAATAAAAATCTACCCCATTTTTGGTAATATATTTTTGAATTAAGGACTGCAATTAAAACAATTGGTCAATCAGCCCTGAAACCAGCTGATAATGTTATGAACTTCTGTCTTGGAAACTCGCCTCACTTCTTTAGTATCTGTGTCTTTCTCACACTGTTTGGCTTCGAATGGAATACTTACCTTAAATTACTGGCAGGGAACTTATCGTACAGGTCAGAACGGCCACAATGCCTACACAAGACAAAACGTGGGAGAGTCTTAGGTACATATCACAGCTGTCACCAACGCCTGGGACAGTAGCCTCGGACAACCGCTGGCAACAGTGGCTATCAGACTACTTATGGTATACTTTATATCTATATACTAAACACATGCACGCACATGCGCGCGCACACACGCGCACGGACACAAACCCTACAAAATAACGAACATATACTGAGGGAAAAAAAATAAGGGATCACAAGTCTTCGTGCGTGTTTGTGTGCGTGCGTGTGTGCGTGTGCGTGTGCGTGTGTGTGTGTACAAAATTGACTCTCCCAACCCCCTACCACCAAATGAGGAACGGTCCCTTATAATTCTATTTCCTTCAAATGTTAGAAAGCGCACATACAATCTCCGAAACAAGCCCGCGGGATCGTCAGAAATACACTGAACTGAACCCAAGAAAGCCGGTATGTCAGTATTTTTTCAGTATTTATTCATTTTTATCGTTCCCAAATCAAGTATACAAAGTATATAAAGTACATATAGAAATATGTAAGCTGTTCTCCTACAAATACTTAGTAAAATAGTCGAGGGACCGTTCCTAATTTGGAGGGTAGGGGTTGGGGAGAGTCAATTTTGTACACACGCACGCACACACACACACGCTCTCCTAAGCTATGACTTATGAATGGTCCCTAAATAGCTGCGAGTTAACAATACTAATTATCGTTTATCAACTTTATTCTTAATCATTAGGCTGACATTTCACATCTCTGGGGACTTTTAAGCCTGTCGTTTCTGGGGCCATTCATATTTTTTCAGGGTATTCATTTCAAAATTCCACCAAGGGTATGGCAGCAAGGTTTCATGAATGTTTCTTTTGAGAAATATTTTTAAGTCTTTTTTGATTATCTGCTATTATTTGGACATTCAATAAAACAAATCCCTTTTGTGATTCTTAGACCATGTTTAGAAATATACATTTGGAAATATTAGGTGAACAGCAGGTAATAATTACGTTATAATATGTGTTTAACAAATATATTTCCTCCTTTCAGTCGTATCTAAGAGGTTTATTTCTTTTAAACAAATAAATATGAAACAAATAAAAAAAATCCAGCAATACGATTCAGTGGTGGAAATAACCCATTGCCCGACGCCCGAGTCCAGTGTTTTTTTCTGTCGGGCAAGCACATTTGTATATCACACTGTCCCGGTGTCCAGTTGATATTCCAATGTTAATTATGTTGTTTATTTAAAAAATCAACAAGAAAACGGCCAGTATAGTGGAAATATTATCAGGGCAAGTGATTTTACATGTGCCACTGTACCGGAGTACACTAGCAATTTTAAAGTTATTTCCACCCCTGTACGATATACGAGTGCTTCGGTGATATAAGCACCATTGGAATTTAAAAAAAGATGGAATAGAGTTATCGATCTTGTTTGAAGTACTTCTGATGTTCAGGCGCCAATATGAAATCCTTCCCAGAGGGGCACGAGTCGCCATTCGGCTTGTCCCGGAATAGCACGAGTTGATCACGAATGGATTAGACCGACACATTTCAAACAAAACATCACCGAGATCTACATGGCCCACCAAGAAGAAATCGTCCTTAAGACGTCCCCAGTCCAACCCACCTGCTGGTTCCGTAAAGGAGATATTACTAGTGTCATCCTTCCTCCATCTGACGACCCCAACATCCTTCTCCAACACCTAAAATATTTAAACACCCCCGTATGCAGTTTACTATGGAATTAGAAACAGACAACAAACTCCCCTTCCTAACTGCCATGGTCCAGGAGAGATGACAATAAACTGAACACCAGCGTCTACCGCAAACCACCCATACGGTCCAGTATCTCCATTTCTGCTCCAGTCAACCTATCCAAGTTAAGAGAGGGATAATCTCCACCCTGACCAGACGAGCCAAGAACATCTGCTCCACAACCTCATCCCTAGACGCCGAGTTGTACCACCTCAGGTGTCTTCATCAACTGCAACAAATATCCTGCATCCTTCGTCGACCAGACCATCAACACCACCTCCAATCCTGAGACTAAACACTTGCTTGACAACGACATTAGAATCTATGTGAAAACGTCGCCTATACAGAATAAAGAAGTTGTATATCCATAAAAACTGTCCTCATTCTTCATCTCCTAAACTTCTAGAATGTCAGTCAAAGAAGACATCATCTAGCGACAAAATATATATACACAATAAAATGACGACTGTAATGATTCAAACCCGACACATTTCCCAGGGATACCTCGAGTGCGTGCGCACATGGTTTGATGATGTCTACTGATTCACCGATAAGGAAACATGGCGAGTTTTAATCATTACAATGTACACTTTCTGGGCATTGTGTCATGTTTACAATTTGTGCGACTATTTCTATATGGGTTTGGTTTACTGATTTTCAGTGGAGGGCATGTTAAGGCTGCCCAGAAATAGAAGACTGACTGACTGACTGAGTTTGATTTTACGCCGCTTTTAGCAATATTCCAGCAACATCAGGGCGGGGGACACCAGAAATGGGCTTCACACATTGTACCCATGTGGGGATTCGAACCCGGGTCTTCGGAGTGACGAGCCAACGCTTTAACCCTTAGGCTACCCCACCGCCCCCAGAAATAGAAGACATAACGTTGATAGCAACGTTAAAAAAACAAACACATCGCTGAACATTAGACCCACATCTTCTATCACAGAGACTGGTGAGACATACTTACAGTTATCAATATGTGCTCTGTTGTAGTGGCGACGGAGACTAGAATAGCGGCCCCAGAGAGTAACCCAGCTGACAACCTGGACAGATCAGGTAGGCGTGATGAGAATACCTACAAATACAGGCGCGGGGGTGGCTGGGGAGAGTAGGGTAGTTGGGTGCTTGGGATTTTGTAGGAGCAGGTGCTTTTTCAATGGTCGTGCTCTGCACACAAAGTTAAACACAACGTAAACGTGTATGCTGTAACGTAAGAATTTTATAGTCTACAGTTCTCTTGACGTCATAACAACAAACCCCAACTCACTGGCAGACTGAATTACATATTTATTCGCCAGATCTTAGAAATTAATATATTATGTTTCAGTTTTAGTAGATGAATCAGTTGCCATGGATACCTTATCAAAAGTAAAGATCTTCTGTTGGATAACAACAAGGGAAAAGGAAATCGACAATAAAATGGCGGCAGTGAACGAGACTTGGGCGAGACGCTGCGATAACAGAATGTTTGTTATGACAACCACTAAAAAATATCCAGGAAATAAAATAGTTGACCTACACATCAAAGATGGCCGCCAGTACTTGACGGAAAAGACGATAGCGTCTTTAAAGTATATTTACAAACATCATCTGAACAATTATGACTGGTTTCTGAAAGCAGACGATGATACATTCGTGGTGATGGAGAACCTGAAGTTTTTGTTGTCCCACTATAACGCGAGTGAGGGGGTGTATGTGGGTCACCTGTTCAAGAAATATTCCAGCTGGGGCTATATGAGCGGCGGCGCTGGCTACGTGCTTAGCAGAGAGGCTGTACGACTTTTGGTGGAAAAGGGGTACAATACAGAGGTATGTTGTTGTCATCATTGTCAAGATACAAATTCCATTACATTTTAGTCAAAAAAACTCCTGACATGTCAGGTCCGTGAGTTTCCTGAAGAGGTCAATACATTGGTCAGCCTTAATTTTAGTTTCCTACCCATTGCTATGACAACATTAAAGGCTGTGTATTGGTTATAGATAATGGCAAAGTGTTTCCTTATTGTGTGATCATACGCCTTTCTCTCCAATTTGTTCATTGGAAATTATATGTCTTAGACAACAATTTTGCCTCACAAAAGGCGTGGTGTGCATTAGATTGATAAATGCAGAGTCTTAAGTATCCTCACGCTTGTGTGTACTTCCTGTCCCAAAACATATTGTTCTTCGTTCCAAGCAGCCATTATTGTAATGCAAGAGCCCTTAACGAAGCAAGTACTTTGACTCCCTTTGAACTTACATGGTTCTTTGTTTCAACATATGTATTCAAAGACTAAGCGTCAGTTTGTTGTCCCCCTTCTTGGACACCAGAAGAGATGGTCACATACGACTCATTAGTTCTAAAACATACCTCAATCTGAATTATGGATTATTTGTCATGCAATCCAAATGGAGGCGAGAGTGATTCATAAAGCGTGATATAACTCGTATATTGCTCACTTCTGTGTTTAAAACAATTTCCCTTGTTCGCACACTCACTAATAGTTAGGTCCTTGTTCAGAACGTGTGCCGGAAGTCTGGGACGGACGAAGACGTGGAAATAGCGAGCTGCCTGCACAATGTTGGAGTCCCCGTCCACAACACTCTGGACAGGTTCGGTCGGGAGTCCTTCCATGCCTTCAGTGCCGGTGACCATATCATGGGCTCCCTGCCCAAAGAAATTGAGAAGTGGGACCGCCATAAAACAAAGAAGGTAAGATCCGAGTCAGGGAATGTCAGGAGCCCTGATTACAATAGCTACTCAACTGTCAGGGGTGCACAAGGAATCAGAAATAACGAGTTGATGCAAACCCCCAAACGATAAACAATAAAACAGTTTGAAAATATAAATAAATAATAGTGTAAATGTCACCTTGCGACAGTCTTGATATTGAACATTTAGAGACAGCAGAGGGTCAGCTGTTAGACAGTGTGTTATTGTTTACAAACCCTCACCCACGAATAACTGTCTACCTTCAGTGGGTGGTGGTTTGTTCATTATTTCGAAAACCCTCACTTGATTATCCAGATTACCACTCTCTAAAATGTGAAGCACTTCCTCCACTGTATTGCTGACGATGTCCCAGAACTCATGTAACACTGCCTTCACTGTATTGCTGACGATGTCCTAGAACCCATGTAGTACAGGCTCCACTGTATTGCTGACGATGTCCCAGAACCCATGTAGTACAGGCTCCACTGTATTGCTGACGATGTCCCAGAACCCATGTAGTACAGGCTCCACTGTATTGCTAAAGATGTCCCAGAACCCATGTAGTACAGGCTCCACTGTATTGATGACGGTGTCACAGAACCCATGAAGCACTGCCTCAACTGTATTGATAACAGTGTCCCAGAACCCATGCAGCACTGCCTTCACTGTATTGCTGACGATATCCTAGAACCCATGTAGTACAGGCTCCACTGTATTGCTGACAGTGCCCCAGAACCCATGTAACACTGCCTTTACTGTATTGCTGACGATGTCCTAGAACCCATGTAGTACAGGCTCCACTGTATTGCTGACAGTGTCCCAGAACCCATGTAACACTGCCTTTACTGTATTGCTGACGATGTCCTAGAACCCATGTAGTACAGGCTCCACTGTATTGCTGACAGTGCCCCAGAACCCATGTAGCACTGCCTTCACTGTATTGCTGACGATGTCCCAGAACCCATGTAGTACAGGCTCCACTGTATCGCTGACGATGTCCCAGAACCCATGTTACACTGCCTTCACTGTATTGCTGACAATGTCCCAGAACTCGTGTAACAGCCTCCACTGTATTGATGACGGTGTCCCAGAACCCATGTAGTACAGCCTCCACTGTATTGATAACAGTGTTCCAGAACCCATGTAACACTGCCTCCACTGTATTGATAACAGTGTCCCAGAACCCATGAGCACCGGCTATCCACTGTAGATAACAGTGTTTCCAGAACCTGCCACTGTATTGATAACAGTGTTCCAGAACCCATGTAACACTGCCTCCACTGTATTGATAACAGTGTCCCAGAACCCATGTAGCACTGCCTTCACTGTATTGATAACGGTGTTCCAGAACCCATGTAGCACAACCTCCACTGCATTCATAACAGTGTTCCAGAACCAATGTAGCACAGCCTCCACTGTATTGATAACAGTGTTCCAGAACCAATGTAGCACTGCCTGCACTGCATTCATAACAGTGTTCCAGAACCCATGTAGCACAGCCTCCACTGTATTCATAACAGTGTCCCAGAACCCATGTAGCACTGCCTCCACTGTATTGCTGACAGTTTCCCAGAACCCATGTAGCACCGCCTCCACTGTATTGCTGATGGTGTCCCAGAATCCATGTAGCATTGCCTCCACTGTATTGAAAACAGTGTCCCAGAACCCATATAGCACTGCCTCCACTGTATTGCTGACGATGTCCCAGAACCCATGTAACACCGCCTCCACTGTATTGAAAACAGTGTCCCAGAACCCCATGTAGCACTGCCTTCACTGTATTGATAACAGTGTCCCAGAACCCATATAACACTGCCTTCACTGTATTGCTGACGATGTCCTAGAACCCATGTAGTACAGGCTCCACTGTATTGCTGACGATGTCCCAGAACCCATGTAGTACAGGCTCCACTGTATTGCTGACGATGTCCTAGAACCCATGTAACACTGCCTTCACTGTATTGCTGACGATGTCCCAGAACCCATGTAGTACAGGCTCCACTGTATTGATGACGGTGTCCCAGAACCCATGAAGCACTGCCTCAACTGTATTGATAACAGTGTCCCAGAACCCATGTAACACTGCCTTCACTGTATTGCTGACGATGCCCCAGAACCCATGTAACACTGCCTTCACTGTATTGCTGACGATGTCCCAGAACCCATGTAACACTGCCTTCACTGTATTGCTGACGATATCCTAGAACCCATGTAGTACAGGCTCCACTGTACTGATGACGGTGTCCCAGAACCCATGAAGCACTGCCTCAACTGTATTGCTGACGATGTCCCAGAAGCCATGTAACACTGCCTTCACTGTATTGCTGACAATGTCACAGACCTCGTGTAACAGCCTCCACTGTATTGCTGACGGTGTTCCAGAACCCATGAAGCACTGCTTCAACTGTATTGCTGACAGTGTCCCAGAACCCATGTAACACTGCCTACACTGTATTGCTCACAATGTCCAAGAACCCAAGTAATACTGCCTTCACTGTATAGCTGACGATGTACCGGAACCCATGTAGTACAGCCTCCACTGTATTGCTGATGGTGTCCCAGAACCCATGTAGTACAGGCTCCACTGTATTGCTGACACTGTCCCAGAACCCATGTAGCACTGCCTTCACTGTATTGATAACAGTGTCCCAGAACCCATGTAGCACCGCCTCCACTGTATTCATAACAGTGTCCCAGAACTCATGTAGCACTGCCTCCACTGCATTCATAACAGTGTTCCCGAACCCATGTAGCACAGCCTCAAGTGTCCCAGAACCCATGTAGTACAGGCTCCACTGTATTGCTGACAGTGTCCCAGAATCAATGTAACACTGCCTTCACCGTATTGATAACAGTGTCCCAGAACCCATGTAGCACTGCCTCCACTGCATTCATAACAGTGTTCCAGAACCCATGTAGCACCGCCTCCACTGTATTGCTGACAGTTTCCCAGAACCCATGTAACACTGCCTCCACTGTATTGCTGATGGTGCCCCAGAATCCATGTAGCACTGCCTCCACTGTATTGCTGACAGTGTCCCAGAACCCCTATAGCACTACCTCCACAGTATTGTTGACGATGTCCCAGAACCCATGTAGCACCGCCTCCACTGTATTGATAACACTGTCCCAGAACCCATATAGCACTGCCTCCACTGTATTGCTGACGATGTCCCAGAACCCATGTAGCACTGCCTCCACTGTATTGAAAACAGTGTCCCAGAACCCATATAGCACTGCCTCTACTGTATTGCTGATGATGTCCCAGAAACCCATATAGTACAGCCTCCACTGTATTGATAACAGTGCCCCAGAACCCATGTAGCACTGCCTTCACTGTATTGCTGACGATGTCCCAGAACCCATGTAGCTCTGTCTTCACTGTATTGCTGACAGTGTACCAGAACTCATGTAGCACTGCCTCCACTGTATTGCTGACGATGTCCCAGCACCCATGTAGCACTGCCTCCTCTGTATTGCTGACGATGTCCCAGAACCGATGTAGCACTGCCTCCACTGTATTGCTGACAGTGTCCCAGAACCCATGTAGCACTGCCTTCACTGTATTGCTGACAGTGTCCCAGAACCCATGTAGCACTGCCTCCACTGTATTGATAACAGTGTCCCAGAACCCATGTAGCACAGCCTCCACTGTATTGCTGACGATGTCCCAGAACCCATGTAACACTGCCTCCACTATATTGATAACAGTGTCCCTGAACCCATGTAGCACTGCCTTCACTGTATTGCTTTGACTGTGTCCCAGAACCCATATAGCACTGCCTCCACTGTATTGCTGATGATGTCCCAGAACCCATGTACCACCGCCTCCACTGTATTGATAACAGTGTCCCAGAACCCATGGTGCACAGCCTTCACTGTATTGCTGACGATGTCCCAGAACCCATGTAGCACTGCCTCCACTGTATTGATAACAGTGTCCCAGAAACCATGTAGCACTGCCTCCACTGTATTGCTGACAGTGTCCCAGAACCCATGTAGCACAGCCTTCACTGTATTGCTGACGATGTCCCAGAGCCCATGTAACACTGCCTCCACTGTATTGATAACAGTGTCCCTGAACCCATGTAGCACTGCCTTCACTGTATTGCTGACTGTGTCCCAGAACCCATATAGCACTGCCTCCACTGTATTGCTGATGATGTCCCAGAACCCATGTAGCACCGCCTCCACTGTATTGATAACAGTGTCCCAGAACCCATGGTGCACAGCCTTCACTGTATTGCTGACGATGTCCCAGAACCCATGTAGCACTGCCTCCACTGTATTGATAACAGTGTCCCAGAAACCATGTAGCACTGCCTCCACTGTATTGATAACAGTGTCCCAGAACCCATGTAGCACTGCCTTCACTGTATTGCTGACATGTCCCAGAACCCATGTATCACAGCCTTCACTGTATTGCTGACAGTGTCCCAGAACCCATGTAGCACAGCCTTCACTGCATTGTTGACCATGTCCCTGAACCCATGTAGCACAGCCTTCACTGTATTGCTGACAGTGTCCCAGAACCCATGTAGCACTGCCTTCACTGTATTGCTGACAGTGTCCCAGAACCCATGTAGTACAGGCTCCACTGTATTGATAACGGTGTCCCAGAACCCATGAAGCACTGCCTCAACTGTATTGATAACAGTGTCCCAGAACCCATGTAGCACTGCCTTCACTGTATTGCTGACGATGCCCCAGAACCCATGTAGTACAGTCTCCACTGTATTGATAACGGTGTCCCAGAACCCATGAAGCACTGCCTCAACTGTATTGATAACAGTGTCCCAGAACCCATGTAACACTGCCTTCACTGTATTGCTGACGATGTCCCAGAACCCATGTAGTACAGGCTCCACTGTATTGCTGACCATGTCCCAGAACCCATGTAGCACAGCCTTCACTGTACTAATAAGAGTGTCCCAGAACCCATGTAGCACAGCCTCCACTGTATTGCTGACAGTGTCCCAGAACCCATGTAGCACCGCCTA